TTGATGTAGCACCTTATCAGATCCCTTTTGGAAATCTAATGCACTAGAAAATATCTATAATTAAACAGAGTCCAATTCACTTGGTCTTTGCTACAGTTTGGCTTGCTACAGTGTTCCAGTGAAGCCCAACGGAAGCTGGAGGAATAACACCTCATTTTCCGCTTGGGGACCCTACAACCCTCCGGACTCCATATTAGTTCAAGAATTTTAGGGCCTAAACTCTCCCCTGTCCCAGCCCCCCACCCCACACACCAGGCTTTGTTACCACATAGCCTGCCATTACACACCCCCTGTTGTTAGTCACTAGTCCCCATTAACAACTGTTCACCCTCCCAGCCTGATCGTTAGCAACTCCTTTGTCTGTCCAACTGTCTTTCTCTCTCTTCGGGCTCTATCCTATCGTTTACTCCCTACCCCACGCCCCTCCCTATTTTCTGCATATAAACTGACGTTTTCCCAGCCACCATCAGTTCTGAGGAAGGGTCACCGCACCCGAAATGTTAACTCTGTTTTCTCCTTCACAGATGCTGCCAGACCTGCTGAGCTTTTCCAGCAACTTTGTTTTTGTTCCTGATTTACAGCATCCGCAGTTCTTCTGGTTTTTATTCATATTTTTAGTAATAGCTCTATTTCAATTAGCCACACTCCACATAAATCTAACCACACTGATTACTAGCTTCTCATATTTATAAAACCAACTGACACTCAATTAGCTCTTAGTATATCCATCACTTGTTCCATTAGTTCACAGGAATTCTTCAAACCCTATTAAATATTAGCATTTAATTACATTGCGTCCACCTTCTATCCACAGCATGTTACCTCATCAAAGAACTCCAATAAGTTGTCTAAACATGATTTTCCTTTCTGAAAACTATGATGACTATGACTGATTTGCTTGAATTTATCCAAGTGCCCTGCTGTGAATTGTTTAATTATAGCTTATACTATTTTCCTTATGGCAGATGGCAAGCTAACTGGCCTGTAGTTCCTGCTTTCTGTCTCCTTCACTTTTTGAATACAGGAGTTACATTTGCTATCTACCAATCTAATAGGATAGTCTTGACATCAAAGGAGTTTTGGAATATTATAATCAATGCAGCTATCTCACTAGCCATTTATTTTAAAGCCCTGGGATGAAGTCCATCAGGATCCAGGAACTTGTCGGCCCACAGCTCCAACAGTTTACTCAGTGACACTTTGGTTGATTGAGATTTTCCTGAGTTCTTCCCTCCCTTCCATTTCCTGATTCATCGCTGCTTCTGAGATTTTACTTATATCTCTAGTGAAGACGAATGCAAAATACCTGATCAGTTTATCTTTTTTTATTATTTTCCATTATGAATACCCTAGATTCATTTTCTATAGGACCAGTGCTCACTTTTTGAATGTCACTTTTTAAAATATTTATTGAAACTCTTACTCTGTGTTTATATTTCCGTCTGCCTTTCTCCTCTGCGCTAATTTTTCTGCAATTAATTTTTTTGGTATTTATTTGATTTTTAAAATTTCTGTTCAATCTTCTGATCTGCCACCATCTGCACCATTGTATGCTTTTTTCTTTAAAAGCTTTGTACTATCTTTAACATTTCTAGTGAATAGTGGGTCCGTTCTTAGGAACTTTTCTTACTTGGGATGCACCTATTCTGTTAATTATGAACTATCCCCTACATCTCTACTAACCAACCATTTAACTTAGTTTGCCAGAATCATGGAGACTCAGTAAAGAGAAACCAGGTTCAGTGATGAATACTTCAATAACCAGACAATTCAAATTTATATTAATTTATGAGAAGCAGAGGGAAATTAATATTTTATACATCAAGCTATGATCTAAAAATGAATTGTCTGGAAAGCACAGTGGAAACCAATTTGATATTCAGATTTTCAAAAGGGAATCAGAAGAGGTGAGAAAGTGAGGAGTGGGATTAATCTGATGGTCTTTCAAAGGCCTGGCACATGCTTAATGGGTTGAATGGCCTTTTTTTCTATGGTGCATCATTCTACGAAATTATAGTTGATTTAATATTTGAATTGAGACAATATTGCTGTGCTGTCTAACATTCTGTGGCTATGTGTAGCCGTATCTCGGGATTTCATTCTTAGCCAGTATATACAAGGGAATATCTGGCTGGCACTGATACAGTAGGTCTGAGACCATTGTCAATGAAATAAATACTGTATCACAGTGTCAGGAAACTATCGTGACCCTCTATCAGTTCCAGTGCCACCTTTCCATGTGTGTTTGCTGGAAAAAAAAAATACTCTTCTGCTTTTTGACAGGTCTACTATTTATGAAAATCTTCTGAATCTGGTGCCAACAAATATATCAAGGAGAGGAAATTCAAATCCATCTGATCTGTCAGAATGGGTGCCATTGTTCAAAGGTACTGTGTTTGCAGCTGAAATGTAGTATTTGATGCATGTTTTCAATTAAGTAACTTTATAATGATTCTATGTAAAATATAGAGCAAATTCCAATTTAATTGTCCCTACAATCCATAAACAATTATCTCAGTTCAAAAACTTGTAGAGGATGGTGTTGTGTAATGGCTCTTAGTGTCCCAAAGTGCTTCACAGCCGCTTCCTTAGTCTTGAAGTTCAGTCACTATAGCTGTCATTTACCAAAGCCCCATAGACTGCAATGAGTTGAATGACTAGTTAATTTGCTTCTTGCTCTTGGTGGAGGGATACCAAAAACTGGCTGCTCCCAATTGATGCTGTGGGAGCTCCTGCATTCACCTGAATGGTGAAGGTTAGGTTACAGGTTTCACATCTTATCTGAATGGAAGCAGCTCTGACAACATAACATGCCCTCAATACTGCATCTGGAATGGAAATTTTGCAGATGGCAACTTCTACACATGTTGTAACATCAGGACAAGCAGTTTGTGCTCAAGCGCAACCTGTTATAAGAAAATAGGAACAGGAGTAGGCCATTTAGTCCCTTGAGCATATTCCACCATTCATCAAGATCATGGTTGATCTGTGGCCAAACTCCATATCCCTTAATATTGTTGCTTAGCAAAAATTGATCTGTCTCAGATTTAATATTAACATTATTATTCATCGTTTATATTAAGAATTTGGATGAGAATACAGGAGATGTGATCACTAAGTTTGCGGATGACGCCAAAATTGCTGGTATAGTGGACTGTGAAGAAGGTTATCTAAGAGTACAACGAGATCTTAATCAGATGGGCCAGTCGGCAGAGAAGTGGCAGATTGAGTTTAACTTAGATAAATGTGAGGTGTTGTATTTTGGTAAGGTAAACCAGGGCAGGACTTACACAGTTAATAGGGCCCTGGGCTGTGTTGTTGAACAGAGGGTCCTAGGTTCATGGTTCCTTAAAAGTGGCATTGCAGGTAGACAGGGTAGGGAAGAAAGTGTTTAAAGAAGGAGTTTAGGAGTTGGGATATCATGTTGTGGCTGTACAAGACATTAGTAATGCCACTTTTAGAATACTGTGTACAATTCTGGTCACCCTGCTATGGGAAGGATGTTGTTAAACTAGTTAGGGTACAAAAACAATTTATAAGGATGTTGCTGGAACTGGAGAGTTTGAGTTATAAGGAAAGGCTGGATAGGCTGGGATTTTCTTCCCTGGAGAGTAGGAAGCTGAGGGTTAACCTTTATAGAGGTTTAGAAAGTCAGGAGGGGCACAGCTAAGGTGAATAGCCAAGGTCTGTTTCCAAGGGTAGAGGAGTCCAAATCGAGAGAGCATGGGTTTAAAGTGAGAGGGGGAAGATTTAAAAAGGATCTGGGGAGCAAATTTTTCATGCAGAAAATGGTGTGTGTATAAAACGAGCTGCCAGAGGAGGTGGTAGAGGTGGGTACAATTTACAATGTTTAAAAGACATTTAGCCAGATACATGAATAGGAAAGGTTTTAAAGGGATATGGGCCATAAGGTTTAGAGGGTTATGGGACTAGTTCAGTTTAAGATACCTGGTCGGCATGGACAAGTTGAACTGAAGGATCTGTTTCTGTGCTGTATAACTCTGACTCTATAGCTGATCTAGCATCAACTACTATTTGTGCTACCCTTTGTGTGTAGAAGTGCTTTCTAACATCCCTCCTGAATGGTCTATTCCTGACTGTTCATCTCTGGATGTGTTTGTTGATCCGGCAAGATTGTCATACTGGATGTTTATTATTTCAGGAAGCTATTGGAAGTTAAGAAATCCAAAGAAACCTCCTATCAGAAGTGGAAAATGTATGTTCCTTGGAAACACTCCTCATCTTCAGTCAGAGGATTGTGTATTCAAGCTGCCTTTATGTTCTAGACTAACCTTTTCAATACCAAGCCAGTGTTATCTAAGGGGCTGTGTTTCAATGATGGGTTAAGTTGAGTTCCAGCTGACTCAACATGTGGATATAAATTATTCTATTTGAATAACAGGGAATAAGTGTCTAATGTGGCTTGAACAACTTTTCTCTCCACCAATTCCACCAGAAACAGATGATCTGATTGTATACCTCACTTGCTCTTGGCAGAGTTTCCTGTGTATAAATTAGCTGTGTTTGCCTAGAGAAATAAATGACTACATTTTAAAAGAAATTCCCAAAGAATGTGATCAAGTGTTATGTGAATTTAAGTTGTTCTAATTCTCATATATCCTCTCGGACAGTAAGATTCTTTAGTTTAAAGATAGTTCAATAAATTCTTTACTAATGTACATTTTTTACACATAAATACAGTTCCTCCTAATGATTCAGCCAATTTGGAAATTGAATTAAGCGGATTCTGCACTGGGATTCCTGCCAATTTGAATCTTTGGTTCTTCACATCTGTTGTTGGAGCAATTGAAGGAGTGCCACAACGAGAAATACTTGGAGCTGAAGTAAAGTAAGAAAATGGTCATTATAATTGTATTGGTTAGTTGATATCTCTTGAAATCGACCTTCTTGGGATTTAAATATGGCAGTGGAACTTTATTCATTCATGTCCGTCTTCATGGTGAAGACATGAGTAAAATCACAAAAATTCAAGAGAGTCGGGGGCAGAGCTGAGTATGGTGACCATCACGAAGGAAAAGGGGCTAGTAAAACTGATTGGCCTGAAGGTGGACAAATCACCTGGCCCAAATGGACTACACCCTAGAGTTCTAAAGGAGATGGGTGAAGAGATAGTGGAAGCGTTAGTGGTCATCTTTCAGGAATCGCTAGAGTCAGGGAGAGTCCCAGAGGACTGGAAAATTGCTAACGTGACATCCCTGTTTAAAAAGGGAATAAGGCAAACGACGGAAAATTACAGGCCGATTAGCCTAACCTCGGTCATGGGTAAGATTTTGGAGTCCATTGTAAAGGATGAGATTTGTGAATATTTGGAAGTGTATAGTAAAATAGGGCAAAGTCAGCATGGTTTCATCAAGGGGAGGTCACGCCTGACAAATCTGTTAGAATTCTTTGAGGAAGTAACGAGCAGGGTAGACCAAGGAGAGCCGATGGATGTTATCTACTGGACTTCAAGAAGGCCTTTGATAAGGTGCTACACAGGAGGCTGGTGAGTAAGATAAGGGCCCATGGTGTTAGAGGCAGAGTGCTAGCATGGATAGAAGATTGGCTGTTTGGCAGAAAGCAGAGAGTGGGGATAAAAGGGTCTTTCTCAGGATGGCAGCCTGTGACAAGTGGTATTCCATAAGGGTCGGTGCTGGAACCACAACTTTTCACTTTGTACATTAATGATCTCGATGAAGGAACTGTGGGCATTCTGGCTAAATTTGCAGATGATACAAAGATAGGCGGAGGGACAGGTAGTATTGAGGATGCGGGGAGGCTTCAGAAGGATTTGGACAGGTTGGGAGAGTGGGCAAAGAAGTGGCAGATGGAATACAACGTGGGAAAGTGTGAGGTCATGCACTTTGGTAAGAAGAATAAAAGCATGGACTATTTTCTAACTGGGGAGAAAATTCAGAAGTCTGAAGTGCAAAGAGACTTGGCAGTTTTAGTTTAGGATTGTCTCAAGGTAAACTTGCAGGTTGAATCAGTAGTCAGGAAGGCAAATGCAATGTTGGCATTTATTTTGAGAGGACTTGAATATAAAAGCAGGAGTATACTACTGAGGTTTTATAAGGCTCTGGTCAGGCCACATTTGGAGTATTGTGTGCAGTTTTGGGCCTCATATCTCAGGAAGGATGTACTGGCTCTGGAGCGGGTTCAGAGAAGGTTCTTGAGAATGGTCCCAGGAATGGAAAGCTTAACAGATGAGGAACGTTTGAGGACTCTGGGACTATACTCATTGGAGTTTAGAAGGATGAGGGGCGATCTAATTGAAACTTTCAGAATACTGAATGGCCTGGACAAAATGGATGTTGGGAAGATGCTTCCATTGGTAGGAGAGTCTAGGACCCGAGGGTACAGCCTTAGAGTAAAGGGAAGACCTTTTAGAATGGAGAAAAGGAGAAACTTCTTCAGCCAGAGAGTAGTGATCTATGGAACTCACCTCCACAGAAGGCTGTGGAGGCCAGGTCATTGAGTACATTTAAGACTGAGATAGATTGTCGATTATCAAGGGGATCAAGGGTTACGGGGAGAAAGCAAAATGGGGTTGAGGAACTTATCAGCCATGATTGAATAGCAGAGCAGACTCTAGTTCAAATGGCCTAATTTCTGCTCTTATGTCTTATGGTCTTATGGACGTGGACATCACTGATTTGGCTAGCATTTATTGTCCATTTCTAATTACCTTGGAGAAAGTGATGGTGACCTGCCGCCTTGAACTGCAGTAGTCTGTGTGGTGTAGATAGACCCACAGTGCTGAAATGGAGCGATATCCGGGATTTTGGCACGACAGCTGTGAAGATATGCAATGTAGTTCTTAATCAGGATGGAAAGTGGATCAGAGGAGAACTTTTAGTTAATGTACATGAATTAAATTACAATCAGATCAGTTCTGATTAATTGTGGATTAATTAATACGGGAGAGGTTTTTTCCAATCATAAAATAATTTTATTCATCGGCTGGGACAGAGAGCCACAAGAAAAACGTTATTTGAGTTTAAATAAATCCTCTACACTAGAAGTGGGAATTTGCAAACTTGTAGTTTGAATTCCTCACAATTTATAGAATCTACGCATTCTCTTGTATTATTGCATGAGGCAAAGTCAAGTTATTCTCTGCAATGGATTATCAGCCCTGTTCCTTTCTAGTAATGACTCAATTTTTCTGCCACTTGAATCTCACTTTTAGGAATTTGAGATTTTCTAACAGCTTGCCCCAATAGTTACATCCTCCTCTTTTTGTGTTACACTAATGGAACTAAGTAAATCAATGAGAATAAAGAGAGAATGAATTTTTGAAAAAAGTTAGTGTGATGATTCTTTAGAAAGCAAAATGCAAATAATGCTTGAAATGGAGGCATTAGGACATGATTGAGATGACTGTTATAAGTCTGGTGGGAGGAATGTGCTGGTGATCAAAGCTCATTATTCCATGAGCTATATCATTAGTGTAACTGCTTTGATTCAACCACCAAAATAGCCTAATTGTTTCCATTTATTGCTATTAACCAGAACAAAAGAAACTTTTGTTTATTTATTTACTAAACTCAAAAATAGCTTATGAACAAAACCAATTCTTTAAGCAATTGGCCAAACAGATTAACAACTGAACAAATTGGAATGAAACTGCATCACCTTAATCCCAAAATCCCAATCTGCATGAAAAAACAAGGCACTGCTTCATCAGCAATCACTCACTAACAAGTATGATTGTCCACTTGGGAAATTCCATGTCACTGCTCATGAGTTCAGTGGATCCTTGTATGGCTGAGCCTGATCCTAGAGCCACATTTCCAACCACACGTTTGGCAGGTTTTTATGAGATGTGGAAATGGTCCTTCACCTTGAGATTGCTAGCATTCCTTTGTCAGGCTGGTTTCTAGTACTTCCTCTTGCCAGCGGTTGTTCTCAAAGAATTGTGTCCCTTTGGACTGAAATTTCTTCCAAGTCATTTCCTTCTGAGCAAGGGTCACTCATGCATTAACATCTATGTTGTTTGCAGAGATGCTTTTTTTTTTAAAAGGCAAATGGGGGAAAAGCACCCTTTGGGCCAAGGGTCGAAAGTCAAACAATGAAATGGGATACTTTTTGAGATTTCCTGTATTTCCTGTTGATTAAATCAAACAGTTACTGCTGTGGAGGGATGGAAAATCTTCAGACCAGACCTAAGTTCAGATGGCAAATTATTTCAACTTGGGTTTTTGAATAGAAGTAACAGTTTACCTTTAAAGGTTTGAGCTAGTGAGAGGTACTGATATTTGGGAACTTGCTCAGTTTTCCAAAAATACTTTGTGGAGAGATGTGCATCTTGTCCTAAGGTTTTTAGGAGAGACAGACACTTGTTTACTGAATCCTTTGGAGGTTTTCCTTCTACTGACAAACCCAGATACCCTGGAAAAACAGAAACCAACTCCAGGATAGTGTTCATAGAATCACAGAATCCCTACAGTGTAGAAAGACGCCATATGGCCCATCAAGTCTGCATCGACCCTCTGAGGAGCATCCCATCCATCCCTGTAACCCTACATGGGGTTTTTACCATGGCCAATCCACCTAATCTGCATATCTTTGAACTGTGTGGGAAAACTGGATCACCCAGAGGAAAGCCATGCAGACATGTGGAGAATGTGTGCAGTTTGCACAGACATTTGTACAAGGTTGGCATTGAACCTGGTCCCTGGCACTGTGAAACAGCAGTGGTAACCACTGTGCCACCTGCATGCAGTGTTGCTAGACAACTTTCATTATATAGGCCCCATCCCTCCCAATTGAACTTATGCAACAATTAAAGCAGTAAATTTAATCTCTTATCTCTCAAAAGCTTTATTTGTTTCCTTTCCAAAGTATCTTGACGCTTTAGTAAGAGCAGGTGAGTTGCTGCTGACTATACTGGTGAATAATTCCAAGATATATATGTTCCTTCAAAATCATGGTTAAATTCTTTTCAATACAGGATGTTCAAATACTTCTATATTCCAGTTCCCCATGGTTCTTGTCTATAAATATGTATTCCCAACATGAGTAGCTCAGCCCTGAGGATGTGCTTCCAAGCGTTACCACTTTGGACTATGTTAAGACTGGACTATAGGGGCCATTCTGCCTATCTGTCTATTTAGCTCTTGGAAAGGGGAAAGAGCTATCCGATTAATCTCTTAACCCCCTACTCTATCTCCATAGCCCTGTATCTCTTTTTAAATGTATACCCAACTTCCTTTTGAAATTTATTGTTGAATTACCTTCCGCTACCCTTTCTTACAACACATTCCGAATCATAGCAATTCATTATGTAAGAAATAAATTTCTCCTCAGCATCCCCCCCCCCACCTCCAGCCACTGTCTACAGTATTTTAACGAGTTAAGTGAATGGATTTGTATGCTCAGTTTTTCCACAGTGACCTGGCAAGTCAACTGTGGAGGAGGGGATACAGCAGCCTGTGAAAACAATTCACTTTTACAGTCCTTTTCAGTCAGCTCTTCTGTCCAGTTTATCGAAATACCTGTACAGCCTGAACCAATGAAAACCAGGTAACAGTTTTTCTTTCCTCAACGAAAGCATTTCATGATTGAAGATAGTTGTATGGATGATCTTGGAAATAGAAGCAGTTTCTTCCAAATCAGAAGTACACAGACCTATTTTCCTTGGTACCCAAAACACATCGATCTCAGTCTTTGAATGTACTGGGCATTGAGGGTCTATAGCTCTCTGGAGTACAGAATTCCTCTAAGATCAAGTGTCTCCCTTATCTCTTATCTCAGTCATAAATGTTTGATCCCTTATTCTGAGGCTGCAGACTCTGTAGCTATGAAATTCAGCCTCTCAACATTTACTTTGTTGGATCCTCTGAATATTTTAAAAGTATACTTGTGGGTATAGATGATCAGAAATAAAAAACTCAGCTAGCTGATTCAGGGCCCCAGAGAAAACAGAGGCCAGTGCATCTTGCACCTTCTCAGCCCTATTGCCTTCAATTGCAGCAAATGTGGTAGAGAGGCTCCTGCACCACATCAGGCAACACCTGACATAAAAGATGACCACCAAAGCACAAACTATTATCTCTCAAGACTGAAAGTTACCAAAGACTTATTCACACTTTTTCCTTGAACTGTGTCATTATTATTTATACAGCCAAAAAAGCATCAGTAAAATTCTTAAATAATTTTGTGGACTAGTTTCCAGATGAATTACTTTGAATATGACTGCTCTCGAAATGATGTTTGTTGGCCTGAGCTTGCTTACCCGTTGACAAGACATTACCAGGGTAAGGAAGTTCTACTGATCCTAAACTTCAACCTGTTTGTCATGGTGTGTTTCAATTTGTAAACTGAAAGATATTTGCTCTTTCGTAAAACCTTTAATGATCTTGGGGTTTCAAATGCATTTTTCAACCAACCAATTTTAAAATGTGTTCTGTTATAATATAGAGAATATAACATTTATATATGACAAGCTTTTACAGTGAGCAATGAATTAAGTGACCAAATGATCTGTTTCAGTGATGTTGACTGAGGGACAATATCGGCCATAACATCAAGCAAATTCCCTTGCTCTTCTTTTGGCATCATTTAAATCAATCTGAATGCCGGAGAGCACCTTGGAGTATGTTGCATCTGAAACCTCCAACTGTGCAGGCTGTTGAGTGGAACAAAGAAATATATTGTCATTTGGATTGTGGCAAGCCTCTATGTCAAATTTGTATTTTACTTTCTATGGACGACTTACTGGAGAGTTGATGACTTTTTTTAAATTCAAAGAATAAGAAATCAAGTGTCTAATTTACATGTGCATTGTATTTTGAGTTACAACAAATGTGGGGAGCTCATGGGCTGATTGGGATGGCTTTCCCTGCTGCTTCTCAGCCCATTTCTTTACTCTCTGGTTTAGTCTCACCTTTGCTGTACCCACCATAGCCCTCAGTCTCCAGATTGACGTGAGTTTAACCACACTTTTTTTTATCTCTTCCCAAGCATTTAAAGCTTATTTTGTCTGTGAAATGTAATGTAATCCTATTTCTACTAAATTTCATGGCATTGATTTGCTCTCCTTTACCTCCAAACTATAAAGTTCTAACAGGACTGGACAGGATAAATGCAGGGAGTCCAGGACCAGGGTCTCAATTTAAGGATATGGGATTGGCCATTTAGGACTGAGATGAGGAGAAATTTCTTGATTCAGTGATAATCCTGTGGAACTTTCTGCCACAGAAAGTAGTTGAAGCCAAAACGCTCTTCGTGAGAAGTAGTTAGATATAGTTCTTAGGGCCAAAAGGATCAAAGAGTATGGGGAGAAAGTGGGAACAGGGTACGAAGTTGGACGATCAGCCACGATCATATTGAATGGTGGAACAGGCTCAAAGGGCTGAATGACCTATTCCGGTACCTATTTTCTATGTTTCTACTAGTCTGTACAGATCTCTGGTAATAAGTAGTAAAGGATTAATCACACAAAAAAAATTGGCAGAAGATGCTTGGAATTACGTAACAAGTTGTTGTTTATTACATATTAGTCATTTAACAGGTTATATTAGCTTAAGACTGATGTTAACACTAGCTAAGAAACTTTGTTACCTAAGAGGTAGTAATTAGGTATCTGCTACATGGCTGTAGACTGTAGGACTGACTTAACAACAGACAAAATAGGACACCTCCCAGAGGGAGTTATTTATTTATCAGTGGACAGGGTTATTGGAAAATGTCTGGATTAATCCTTCCAAGCCAAGTGTCTTATACAACGTAGCTCTCTCATGAGGTTCTGGCTTATCTCATTTAGATACTCTAAATCATGTCTTAATATCTACTGGCGAGAACAGATCAAACCTCTGTGTAACCTTTTTTGCAAAATGTTGCACCTCTGACAATGTAGCACTTTGCCAGTACTACACTGAAGCATAAACAAATTAGAAACTTGGGTAGAACAAGAACACAGGATTGTCAGTTTTTCTGAAGGTTTTGCTTTTTGTAGAGGCCTCTTACATAGTATTTGAAAACCTGTATTTAGCACTTATGTTTTCATTTACTTTATAAATAAAAGTTGACTTATTCATTTAAAAAGTTTGCATCACATAAAAGAGATCAAAACATTTAAACATTTGAAATTGTGTCTTTTACCAGGTGAAACATACTCTCAGTCGATTGCTCAGGCGATGTTGCTGGTGTTCTTTTTCTTGGTGGCTGCGGTGTTAGGAGACCCCTGGAACAATATCCGTAAAGCTTGGCATAAGACCACGTTTCGTTAGACTACTGTAGCAAGTCCATGCACAAACATTTCATTGTATTCTTTTTACTTACTGAATATGTTGCACAAGTTATTGATTAATGAGATGCAGGTGACTAGGAAGGGCATTTACTTTATTGATTTGGAATAAAACCTTTTAATATTTCTTTGTCACACCACACTGTAGATTCTGAAATGGTTCTGTTGCCTGTCCTTTAAAGAGATCATCTCTTTGGCAAAGACTGTTTTGGTGCGAGTCTTAGTTGTCATCTGCCAAGATTGATTGATGAAAAACAAACATATTCTTAAATACTGGCATTCTATAAGTCTGTATCTTTAAATTATGCCCATGTGTCAGTTTTAATGGTTTGTGCATATGACATTTCAGTAACTACATTATAGTGCTAATTCGTCAACATTGGCCTGGATTTTGGCAATACTAATGACTAGGAAAGTATCAGCATTCCTTAAAAATTGACAGCAGCTTCTGGAATCTGCACAGTTAGAATTGACCTGAGAAATCCAGAAGTTGTTGTTAATGATTCTGTGCTTTTCCAATAGATGCTGTTTTGAACTTTGTAGTCCCCACAGATTGCAACTAAATAGAAATTTCTGAATTGAACACTTGCACTTTTACAGTCTAGGTTGCACCTTGTTGAATGAGGTGTTACTGGATATTTAAGAGCACTAACTACATCATTATTAAAATCTCTTGGTCCTCATCTACTGATTTTATACTTAGTCATTTGGTAGTATAGCAGTAAGTTTACTGAACAAAGATATTTTGTTGAAGCTGTTTGTTTTCCACTCATCAGGACTATTGGGGTGGAATGACTAAATGAATGACTCAACACCCAGAGTCCACTTCCAGTATCAGAGTTTTTTGATGTTACGCTGGTGGGAAGAAAACCTCTAGGGGTCCAGAAGCTTCTTCCCTGAACAAAAAGAAAGACATAAAACTGTTATACATTTGCTTGCAGCCTGCCCTAGCATTTACAAACCAATTGCAAATTGATCATGTTGTTGATTGATTACTTACTTACACATCCAATCAAGTCAATCATGTGACTGCTTGGTCAGTTGATGGACACTTGTAGGTCTTCCCAGGATCTGGAGATGCTTGCTGGATGTCCTTACCACCTGTCCTTGGGCTTTCACAATGCATCTTATCCATCCACGTTCCAATCCTGCTGACTTCTGCATCTGTCATTCAATCCTCCCAGCTAGCAGGGTGCCTAAAGGACCTTAACTAATGAGTCGAGCTTTACTCTTCCATCCCATATTAAATAACAAACTTTGAATTAGCTTGCTTCTAACTGTACTTCTCAAGGGTGTCCCTTATCCAAACAGTTTGAGCAGTGGCAACATTTTTGCTTCTTCTTAAGATCCCATTGTGTGATTCTTGAGATGCTTTATATCTTATCTAGTTGCTGTGAGAACAAAAGTCGTGACTCTGAGTAAATGATTGCTTCAGCAAACAATCTACTTTGTACATTTTTATGTCAACTGAAAACTACAAGCGGCCATTTTGTGTTAACAAGAACCACAGGCTGCCTTAATAATTATAAAGGGAAGGCAAGTTTAGAGTGTCAATAATAGGGTAAAATTTTGTGTCTGGAGAGTACTGTAAAGTGGCTTTTATAGACTTTCAGAATGACAGTAGTCTCTATATTTAAATTTATTCCTCATGGTTTTATTTTGTTTTTGCCCTAACAAGGGCGGTTTGCAAGAAATGGAAAAAGAGAAAACATTTTAGCTGTAGGTGAGGAGAGTACTAGTAGAGACATTGCTATGGAGAATGCACCAGTTAACGCCTATCACATAAATGAGAAAAATAGTAAATGCATTTCAGTACCCATGTGATGCTAGTTATGTAAGCTGCATATCCCAAAGACTGGTGGATCCCATCACACAAACATATGCTTTCAACTATTTGCAAAAAAAAGTGTACTGACTGTACCCAACCAGCCCTTCCTTGCAAAGCTCACAACTCAGTGATTCTGCTCTTGGACAACATTTGCTAAGTAATCTTGTATGTACAAAAAATTATGCTGATGATTGTTTTAGAATTGTCATAATATATTCAAGGGGTGGCTAGATATAGCACTTGGGGAGAATGGCATCAAAGGTTATGGGAAGAAAGCAGGATTAGGCTATTGAGTTGGACAATCTTTCATGGTCGTGATGAATGGCTGAGCAGGCTTGAAGGGCCGAATAGCCGCCTCCTGCTCTTCTATGTATGTTTCTATGTATTCAGGTTTGCAGTGTGGTGTATTTGCATGTACTGGAAGTTGTATTTGTGTACACAGTCCATTTGTTTCAAGTTGACGGAATAGATGACAGCCATTTCTCAGGGCAATGTCTTAACCAATTAGAACCAATGTGGCTGTTTTAAATTTAAAGCTTGGTAGATAACTGTCAGTTATCACTACCTGATGCATTCTCCCTGGCAACACCTCTCCCAATTGGAGTCCACTTGACAACAAGTTGACAGTCTGCTCTCTTTCAATATCAATGTTGTTTTCCCTTTGGCATTTTCTATGAATTGTCCTGATGAGTGCAAGACAAAAAGCTTTGACAATTGTTTTTTTAAAAAGTAATTTTATATTTGCAGATTGTTGAATTTCTCAATTAAAAAATTGGCATTCTAAATTTTATGTTTTGGCTTCCTTATTGCTATATGAATGTTCCACTCAATTATTTTGTTTTGTATAATAAAGTGAAAAATGATGTATATTCAGTGCACTTGACTTGTTTGCTGTATGAGAATACTTAATTATTAGTGATTGTTTACCCTGCTTGGTGATTTCACTGCTGGATACCTGAAGATCCCCTAGACTTGGCGCCAGATTGGAATTGTTGTTGGAGAAGGAGATATCTGTGACACAGATTGCTAGATATTTATAGGTAGTTTTCTTGAAAGTTGGTGGTGAGTTGGTTGCTTTGCCATTGATAGCAAAATCCAGGTCAAAACATTTTTACAACTGTACATATTTAGGTGGGAGTTATTTTAAAGTGGAAACAAATATGTGAATCAGGATTTCTGAATAAATTTTATTTCTACTTCTGGGCACTGCATGTAGCTCTGGGTCAATACACTACCTTTACTTCTACAAAAACACTAATATTTGGATTCTGGTATACCGTAGATCTGAAAACAGTCAGACTGATCCATGAAATATGAAAACTCTCAGCAGATTGAAGGGGGACACTGTTCTTGATGCTGAGTGATGTAAATCTATACATCTTTATATTTTTATGGGAAATGAAGTGACAAATAATGGTGTGCATATTAACAGGGCAACTCCATCAACTGTGTCAATAAATGTGAAGCTGGAAAAGCACAGCAGGTCAAATAGCATCCGAGGAGCAGGAAAGTGACGTTTCGGACTGAAGGCGATCGCCCAGTGGTATTATCACTCAACTATTAATCCAGAAACTCAGCTGATGTTCTGGGGACCCGAGTTTGAATCCTGCCATGGTGGATGGTAGAAATTGAATTCAAAAAGAAAAATCTGTAGTTAAGAATCTACAGATCACCATGAAAACATTGTTGATTGTCAGAAGAACCCATCTGGTTCTCTAATGTCCTTCCTCACCTGGTCTGGCCTACATGTGATTCTGGACCCACAGCAATGTGGTTGACTCTCTGTTGCCCTCTGAAACGGCCTAGGAAGCCATTCAATTGTACCAATCGCTCCAAAGTCTCAAAGGAATGAAATTGGACAGATCACCTGCCATCAACCTGGGCACTAGAAAAGTCAATGGCAGAAATAGCCTTGTCAACCCTGCAAAGTCCCCCTCACTAACATTTGGGGGTTAGTGCCAAAATTGGGAGAGCTGTCTCACAGATCAGTTAAGCAACAGCCTGACATTGTCTGTCAGGTATGATTCTGTGAGTATGACTATGTCCCAGACACAACCATCATCATCCCTGGATATGACCTGTCTCACTGGCAGGACAGATCCAGCAGAGGTGGTGGCATAGTGGTATACAGTTGGGAGGGTGTTGCTCTGGGAGTCCTCAACATTGACTTCGGACCCCGTGAAGTCTCATGGCTTCAGGTTAAACATGGACAAGGAAACCTCCAGCTGATTACCACATACCATGCTCCCTCAGCCGATGAATCAGTACTCCACCGTGTTCAACAACTCTTGGAGGAAGCACTGAGGATGGCAAGGTCACAGAGTGTACTCTGGATGGGGGATTTCAATGTCCTCTACAATAGTGGCTCGGCAGCAGTACTACAGATTGAGCTGGTCGGGTCCTAAAGGACATAGATGCTAGACTTAGTCTGTGGCAGATGAGGGAACCAACAAGAGAGAAAAACATACTTGACCTCATCCTTACCAATCTGCCAGCTGCAGATGCATCTGTCCATGACAGTATTGGTAAGAGTGACCACTGCACAGTCCTTGTGGAGATGAAGTTCTGCCTTCACATTAGAATACCTCCATTGTATTGTATGGCACTATCACTATTCTAAATAGGACAGACTTCACACAGATCCAGCAACTTGACTGGGCATCTATGAGGTGCTGTGGGCCATCAACAGCAGCAGAATTGTACTTCATTGCAATCTGTAACTTCAGGGCCTGGCATATCCCCCACTCAACTATTACCATCAACCCAGGAGATCAATCTTCGTTCAATGAAAATTGCAGGAGGGTATGCCAGGTGCAGCACCAGGCATACCCGAAAATGAGGTGTCAACCTGGTGAAGCTACCAGATTTGACTACTTGCACACCAAACAGCATAAGCAGCAAGTGACAGATAGAGCTAAGCGATCCCACAGCCAACAGATCAGATCTAAGCTCTGCAGTCCTGCCACATCCAGTCATGAATGGTGGTGAACAATTCAGTAACTCGAAGGAGGAAAAGGCTCCACAAATATCCGCATCCTCAATGATGGGGGAGCCCAGTACCACTGCAACAGATAAGGCTGATGCTTTTGCAGCAATCTTTAGCCAGAAGTGCCGAGTGGATGATCCATCTTGGTTTCCTCCAGTGGTCCCCAACATTACAGATACCAGTCTTCAGCCAATTCGATTCACTCTGTGTGGTATCAAAAAATGGTTGGAGACACTGGATATTGAAAAGGCTATGGGTCCTGACAACATTCCGGTAATAGTACTGAAGACTTGTGCTCCAGAACTTGGTGGTAGCCAACACTAGTATCTATCTGACAATTTGGAAAATTGCCCAAGTATGCCCTGTACATAAAAAGCAGGACAAATCCATCCTGGCCAGTTACCACCTTTATCACTGTACTCTCGATCATCAGTAAAGTGATGGAAGGTGTCATCAACAGTGCTATCAAGCAGCACCTGCTCAGCAATAACCTGTTCAATGACACCCAGTTTGGGTTCTGCCAGGGCCACTCAGCTCCTGCTGTCATTACGTCCTTGGTTCAGATGTGGACAAAAGAGCTGAATTCCAAAGGTGTGGGGAGAGTGACAGCCCTTCACATTAAGCCTGCATTCGACTGGGTGTGGCATCGAGCAAAACTGGAATCAATTGCTATCGGGAGCAAACTCTCTGGTAGTTAGAGTTATGCCTGGCACATAGGAAGATGGTTGTAGTCACTGAAGGTCAATCAGCTCAGCTCCAGGACATCACTGCAGGACTTCCTCAGGGTAGTATCCTAGGCTTCATCAATGACCTTCCCTCCATCATAAGGTGAGAAGTGGGAATGTTTGTGCAATCATTGGCAATGTTCAGCACCATAACTGACTGCTTGGATACTGAAGCAGTCCATGTTCAAATGTAACAAGATCTGGACAATATCCAGACTTGGGCTGACAAGTGGCAAGTAACATTCTCACCAAACATCTGCCAGGCTATGATCATCATGAACAAGAGCCAATCTAACCACCTTGCATTCAATGATGTTACTGTCACTGAATCCCTCACTAGCAACATGCTGGGTGTGGTACCACTGCCCAGACATTCAGCTGGACTTGCCACATAAACACTGTGGCTACACCAGCAGATGAGAAGCTAGGAATACTGTAGTGAGTTACTTGCCTCCTGACTCTCCCTATCCTATCTGTCACACTCCCCACTTTCCTGGATCAGTGCAGGCCTAACACTCAAGAAGCTCTACCCCTCCAGGACAAAGCAGCCCACTTGATTGGCACTATATCTACTCTCAGTAGCAGCAGTGTATACCATCTATAAGATACACTGCAGGAATTCAACAAAGATTCTCAGACAGCACCTTCCAAACTCCCAACCACTTCCATCTAGAAGGACAAGGGCAGCAGAGACAGGGGAACACCACCCCCTGCAAGTTCCTTTCCAAGCTACTCACCATCCTGACTTGGAACTATATTACTGTTCCTGGGTCAAAATCCTGGAATTCCTTCCGTAAGGGCATTGTGGTTATCTCACAGGCGGTAGACTGCTGCAGTTTCAAGAAGGCAGCTTACGCCTTCAAGGGGCACCTAGCGACAGGGCAATAAATGCTGGCCCATCCAGCGACAGCCACATCCTACAAAATGAATAAAACAATGTTACTGAGAGGGGGCAGGTCAATGCGCCTCGCCAATCAGAGCGCGGTTTGCTTCCCTTGGCAACCAGGAGGGGGCGGAGTGAGCCTGCCCTGTCAATCAGAGATGGGTGGGATTCAGCGTGCTGCGTCAGCACACTACCCGGAAGTGGCGTGCCTAGCAGGGATCCTGCCGCCTCCGGTCCTGGAGGAGAGTGAGGGGCGTCCATATCAACTGAGCCCCGGGCCTAGATCCTGACACTGCGCTCTGGCCTTGGCAGCGGCACCGGCTGCTAACAACACCCCCCGATCCTTATTCCAATCACAGGTGCTGTTTGGTGTAGTCCGGCCTGGGATCGTAGTGCTGCTGGAGCGTAGTGGACTCTGTGCCGAGACGATGGGCTCCATGTTCCGCAGTGAAGAGATGTGCCTGGCCCAGCTGTTCCTCCAAGCCGCCTCGGCCTATGATTGTGTCAGTGAGCTTGGGGAGGCCGGTCTAGTGGAGTTCAGAGACGTGAGTCTGCTTACTGAGTAATCCACTGACTAGTAATCCCCTGTTAGTAATGCACTCATTGACAATCCACTAGCTACTAACCTGATGACGAGCAATCCATTCATTGACTTAGAATACACTAACTAGTAATCCAGTCATTGACAACCCTCTAATTAGTTAGTCATCCTCTTTTACTAATCCACTCATTGACAATTCACTGACTAGCTAATGATCTTTTGTTACTAATGTACTCACTGGCTAATAATCGACTCACCGACAGTCGTCCAACTAAGGAGTAATCCGCTCAGTGACTGTGAATCCAAGAACAAAAATTGATCCGTTTGCATGTAATCTACTAATTAATAATCTAACGACTAGTCATCTTCTAATGGAGTAATCCTCTCACTCGCTATGTTTTCCACTGACTGAGAATCCACTCTCCAACTAGTAAATTGTAAAGAGTACTAATCGATTGACTAGCTAGTAATTCATTCACTGAATAGTAATCTGCTCACCAGTTAGCAGCCAATTTAAAGCATTGGCATTATTACTTAATGTAACAGTGTGTATGGTATTTAATGCAGACCTAATTTATTATATAATGTACGAAAGACTTAATCTTTAAAGTTACTATATACGTTAGTTAATAACTGCTAACATGTTTCTTGGTTGAAATATTATAAACTATTAATGAATAATCTCGGAAGTATGACTAACAGCACGATTCCTAAAAATATATAAGGTATTATTCAGCATGTTGTAGTTTTGATATCAGTTATTATTTATTATGTAAGGAGTTAGTGTATTATTTAATATTTGTGGTGTCGTATATATAACAATAACAAATCCTATTTATAGAATAGAAATTTCATTCTTGAGAGGTGATTTTGAGTATATTGAATGTTTATTGCTGCTGTAGAAAGCTGTGAGAATCTGCCGATCTTTGAAATGTGACTTCAATATTTTAATTGTAGGATGTCCTGTTCAAGTAGGTCATGGGAGATAAGTTACTGATGTTTTCATCACATGTTTTTGCAACAAAATAAGGCGCAGGGTAGGCCATATAGGACTGAGATGAGGAGAGTGGTGCCTTCACCCAGAGAGTAATGAGCCTGTGGAACTGTCTGCCATAGAAAGCAGTCAAGGCCAAAAACATTGAACGTTTTCAAGAAAGAGTTAAGAACATAGAACAGTACAGGCCCTTTGGCCCATGATGTTGTGCCGAACTTTTACCTGAAACCTAAGGTCTATCTAACGTCCACCCCTACCTTATATTATCATCCATATGCCTATCTAAAAGCTGCTTAAATGCCCCTAATGAGGCTTACTCCACTACCCTCTTCAGCAATGCATTCCACGCCCCTACCACTCTCTGAGTAAAGAACCTACCTCTGACATCTCCCCCATATCTACCTCCACTCACTTTAAAACTATGCCCCCTTGTAATAGCTACCTTCACCCTAGGAAAAATCTCTGGCTGTCCACTCTATCTATACCTCTGATCATTTTGTACACCTCTATCAAGTCACCTCTCATCCTTTGTCGTTCTAAAGAGAAAAGCCCTAGTTCCCTCAACCTTTCCTCTTAAGACCTTACCTCCATTCCATGCAACATCCTGGTAAATCTCCTCTGCACCTTTTCCAACGCTTCCACATCTTTCTTGTAATGTGGCGACCAGAATGGGACACAATACTCTAGATGTGGCCGAACCAGGGTTCTGTATAGCTGGAGCATAACTTTATGGCTCTTGAACCCCATCCCTCTATTAGTTAAATATAGCTATAGTAACTTGCCATATCTTGGGCAAACTTCAACATTTCTCATTTTTTAAAATATTAGGCAGTCACTCCCTTTTGAAACAAACAAAAAAACAATAAAAACTGAAACTGCTGGAGAAACTCAGCAGGTCTGGCAGCATCTGTGGAGAGGAAACAAAGTTAATGTTTCGAGTCCAGTGATCCCAAATGTTGACTCCATTTTTTCTCCACAGATGCTGCCAGACCCGCTGAGTTTCCCCAGTAATTCTGTTTTTGTTTGTTTCAGATCTTCAGCATCTGCAGTTCTGTGTTTCACTCCCTCTTGAAAGTGTTTAGTCACCAGATTTAGTACTTAAGAGTTTTGTGCAAATTTGGATTTCTGAACAGAGGAGTGACTTCATTTTCCTTTTAATAAGTAGTTAAAACAGTGCAGGCTGTATTTTCAGAATGTGATGATGTTGGGGGTAATGTGAGAGAGGTTAAATTGTGTGGTTATTCAATCGCTGTGACTGTCTGGGGGAAGACTTTGCACCAACTGTTGCATTTTTTTTCTTTCATGAGATGAGGATTGCTGGCGCGAACAAGATTTCTAAGACTTTTGAGTAGATTTGTAGCTCGGGTTGTGGATGTTGTGGTTGGTTGGCTCGCCGAGCTGGTTCGTTGTTCTGCAGACGTTTCATTACCCTGCTGGGTAACATCAGTGCAGTCTCCGATAAAGCGCTGTTGTGTTTTCCCGTCTGTTATTTAAACTCTGGTGTCTACAGAGGTAGTCCCATTTATTTAGTATTACCTCTCCAAGGCACATGCACTACTAGCCAACGAGAACACGTACCGGCAAGTGCAGACAGGCTGGACAACAAAACTGGGCAACAAGATTCCAACACACTAAAGAGACTCAAACAGACCAGACAAATCAACAAAACAGATTTATTAAGACTGAAACCAGAAGTAACTAACACCCCCGATTCAATGACCTCCCAAAAGTACACAAACGGGAAGTACCCCTCAGACCCTGTCTGCCTGCCAGGCACGCCATCACATAGATTAGCCAAGGAGCTACAAAGGAGACTAAAGCACCTCGTCAGCAAGTCATCCCACTCAATCCACTCAGCCCAAGAGTTCCTCAATTCCATCATGGACATAAGAATAGATGACGACAAGACCATGTATCATTTGACATTACTGCCCTATTCACATTGATAGACATACCACTAGCAAGAGAAACACTGACAACACTACTAAAATAAGAACAAGACCCCAGTGAAACCATCTCCACAGACAACACGCTGAAGCTACTGGACCTATGCCTCACCACCCACTTCACCTTTAACGGCCAAATATATGAACAGATCAACGGGACACCCACGGGATCACCTACCTCCGGACTAAGTACGGCCCTTCCGCTAATCCAACCAAAACTCTGGATATGCTATGTGGACGACACCTTTGTCATTATTAAACGGACCAAACTAGAGGAGACACACGAACTAATAAACAACACCCTCACTGGGATCAGATTCACCAGAGAAGAGGAGAAGAACAAACCGCTCCCATTCCTGGACGTCATGGTGGAACGCAGGACAAATGGGGAATTCCTAACAAAGGTACACAGGAAAGTCTCACACACACACTGACTAAGTACTGAATTTCAATAGCAGCCACCCTAACACACACAAACGAAGTTGCACGAGAACATTATTTAAACGGGCAACAACACACTACAGCAGCACAGAGCTACGCCAAGAAGAAGAGGAATACCTCTTCCAAGTATTCAAGGACAATGGATGCCTGAAAAGCTGGGTCAGAAGATGCCTATTGCACGAATGACACCAGGAAGATGCTACATGCCCCGACACACTCCTCATGCTACCTTACATTGGGAACACATCTGAACTGACCACAAGATTCTTACGACCACTGGGCATCAGAGTAGCACACAAACCCACATCAACCCTACGCCAACTACTCACCGGAATCAAAGACCCACTACCCACGATGGACAGGACCAACGTCATATGCAAGATTCCCTGCAAAGACTGTGACAAACACTACATTGGACAAACAGGAAGGAAATTAACCACAAGGGTACACGAACATCAATTGGCAACAAAAAGACAGGACCAATACTCGCTCATCTCCACATAGATAAGAAAAACCAGCAATACGATTGGGACAACACCAGGATCCTGGGACAGGCAAAGCGGAGACAAGCACGGGAATTCCTAGAAGCCTGGTACTCCACTAAGAAAGCCATCAATAAACACAGAGCTAGACCCCTGAACACTCCATTGCGAAGGAAAACCGGAAGTGAGGTCATCCAGCTCAACGGACACCAGAGTTTAAATGACAGGCGGGAAAACACAACAGCGCTTCACCGGAGGCTGCAGTGATGATGATACCCAGGAGGGTAATGAAATGTCTGCGAACTAATGAACCAGCTCGGCGAGCCAACCAACCACAACAGAGAACAAGATTTGATGCCCATTCCTATTGTCCTTGAGCTGAGTGCCCAATCCCTCATTTCAGGGGGCAGCAAAGAGTCAACCACCTTCTGTGGATCTGAAATCACATGTAGGCCAGACTGAGCATGAAAGGCAGATTGGTTACCCTGAAAGGCATTCGTGAACCAAGTGGACAGGGTCAGAAGTCACGTGACACCAGGTCATAGTCCAGCATGTTTATTTGAAATCACAAGCTTTTGAAGTGCTGCTCCTTTATCAGGTTTTCTTCTAAGAATCATGGTTACTTTTACTCAGGCTAGCTGTCAGTTTTTTTTAAATGAATTGTATTTAATGGGGTGATTTGAACCTGTGTCCCCACAGCATTAACCTGTGCCTCTTGATACCTAGTCTAGCGATATTACAATTCTGCCATCATCTCCCCATGACTACTGACTTTATAAAGAAATGATTTGAAGTAATTCTGCTATTTTCTGTAAAGTAGAACCGTCAGTGACGGACTTGATACATCATATCATTAATCGTGCTGCTGTTCTAATTGGAGCTGCGGTTCATCTGACTGGGTGGTGAGTCCCCCTCCCATCTTTAGGAAAAGCTAAACTTTATAGGAAAGATTTCAAGTGTTATAATTTTTAAAAATTGGGTTATCTTGTGGTGCTAGACTTTCATCAGGTGTGTACTTTCTGCTGAAACTTAGTACAGAATCTTTACTGCTATGCTGTCACTTGCCCATTTTCCACATCATTGATCTTGGAATGAAACAATCAAGGTAAACTTTGCGCTGTAGTTTAACGAGCTGAATGAA